CCCAGCTACTTGGGAGGCTGAGGCAGGAGACTCGCTTGAGCCCAGGAGTTGGAGGTTGCTGTGATCTGTGATGCCATGGCATTCTACCCAGGGGGATAGCTTGAAGCTCTGTCTCAAAAAGAATGCTGCTTCTGTCCTGTTTGTGGGGGTAGAGAGCCATGGCTGATCCAATGGATGGGCCCAGGACTGGATTCTGTATTCGGCAGGAGCTGGCTGTCCAGAATGAAGTTGGCCTGGTTGATAACCCTCTGAAGATTTCCTGGTTGGAGGGACAGCCCCAGGGCACAGCAGGCTCCAGCTATCCAGGCCTGTCCAAGGTAAGGACCCAGGCCTAACCCAGCTCTTCTGGTTTGGGCTCCTCTAGGGGCCTTTGCCTCCCAGATTCAGGTCTTTGGGCATAGATTCATCAGTCCACCCACCTGAGCAGGCAGGGCTGTGGTTTTACCTTCACCGTTTACTCTTTGAGGGCCAGAGGGACTTACCTCTTCACACTATTCTTAGACCTTGCCTTTCCTTCACATCTGGCCTCCTGTTGGGACTCTCATCCTTACCCAAGATCTTCCTGGCCTGCAGGTTGCTAGGTTCTGTATGGTGTGAAGGACTGGGAGCTTAGCTGACCTTGCACTGCAGGAAGGGGCAGGTGCTAAGGGCAGCTGATTGCTTCTCTACCTCTTCAGTGTTCCAGGTTGTGATACTGGTTGCCCCAGATGGGGCTGACTGTCAGAGGCAATATCTCCTCTTTAGAAAATAATATTGGTGTTGGCTTGGCACCCATACTTCAGTGGTTAGGGTGCCGGCCACATACACCAGGGCTGGCAGGTTCAAACCCAGCTCAGGCCTGCTAAACAACAATGACAACTGCAACAACAACAACAACCAATAGTTGGGGGTTGTGGCAGGCACCTGTAGTCCCAGCTACTTGGGAGGCTGAGGCAAGAGAATTGCTTAAGCCCAAGAATTTGAGGTTGCTGTGAGTTGTGATGCCACTGCACTCTACCAAGGGTGACATAGTAGACTCTGTCGCCAAAAAAGAAAGAAAGAAAGAAAAGAAAAGAAATAATACTGCTACCCTGATGACCCTGAGTGCTGCCTGCCCTACTTGTGGTGAAGTGTAGACCTTCCAGCTGGTGCTAGCCTTGTGCCAGCTGTTCGTCTTTGCGACTTTATGGATGCTTATGCTCAGCCCCCCCATCCTCCCACCATGGCTCTGGTGTTTTCTGGCCAGGATGTAGAGGCTGTTGCTATAGGACACACCTTTGTGGGACAGATTGCTTCCCTTTGCTGCAGTGGTCTGGGGCCTGTCTGCAACCCCTTGGCCAGTTGCTAGGCAGGAGGGAGTCCTCATTGCCCTCAGTCCTGCCACCTTACTCCCTCTGCCTCTTCACCTGCCTCCTTCCAGACCCTGAACAGGGAGGAACACACGTTGGTCTAAGCCAAACCCAGGATCTTGTTTTGGAGACCTCAACTCCTGCCCCACACTTTTAAGTCCCAGCACTTCACAGTCACAGCCCACAGGTTGTCAGAAAGAATTTTATTCATTCTCCTATATCCACAGAGGAAGGAACCTTTAAGCTCAGACCTCTAACAAGAGGAAGAAAGGGGAGGCCATTGTTTTTGGTTGGGAGGTGGTGGGTACCAAAGCTTCCCTGTCCCCCCTCTGTCGCTCTTGGAGAGGCCTTAGGACCAGTACTATGTGGGCCCACTACATGCTGCTGGAGATTTTGCTTCAAGTCTTCTGGTCAGGCCATGGGGTGGACCAGTGGTACAGCCTGTGGCCTGCACCCAGTGGACTTGGCTTGGTTGGAAGGGCCATTGTCAGGGGATTTGGGCAAGGCAGAGCTTCCCAGTCCTGGTGGAAGTCTCTGGAGACCAGCTGTGCCTTTCCATCATTTGATGTGCATTATCTGTCCAGTCCTCCTCTCTTCTAGAAAGGAAATGTGCCACTATTTTGCTGCATTTCCCAAGGGCTCCCTAGTAATTCTGATAATTCCTAAAATACCCCTTTGTAAGCTGTGTCTCTGCCTTTGGCTGGTATTCCCTAGAGCTGCCTTCCTCTGGCACCAGGGATTGCTGCAGGCACCTGTATTGGGAGGTTGAGTTTCTCGTGGCCTGACTCCTCTTCTGCTAATGGTTTATTTGGCCTTTTTCTTAACTTACACTCTGTATCTCTACCTACCTTTCTTACTACTACACTCGCTTCTCCCTTCCCTCCCAGCTCTTGAGTGTCTCCCCCTTTCCTGCCGGTGGCTCCAAGCTGTGGTCTAGCCAGCACTATCCAGCAGAACTTTGTCAATGATGGCATTGTCTATTCTAGTGTGGCAGCCATTAGTTATGTGGGGCCCCTGGACATTTGAAACTGAAGAAGTTAGTGTTTAATTTCAGTTTCAATTTAAATAGCCTCATGTAGCAAGTGGCCACCAGGTTGGACAGGGTAAAGCCTGTCTCCCTTCTCCTCTCAGATCTGCCTACTTTCCTCTTTGGCCTAGGTTAGACTACTTTTGCCCAGGCTTGTCCTGTGAGCTCTCTGTTGACGGTGGCTTCCAAGGGAGTTGGTGCAGGGAACCCATCTGTTCTGCTGTCTGTGTCTTCCCACTTCCTTACTCACCCATGCTGCTCTCTGGCTCTGCTGGCCTCTGCCTGGTTCCTGTGGTTGCAGGGCGTGGTATCCCTTTCCAGGCTTAGCCAGCTTCCTTCAGGGCTCTTGCCATGAGATCCCTGCCCCCCTACCCCCACCAACATTTCCAGCTTGCATCTGTCCCTCCACTCTGGGGTAACTTGGAGAACTGTTCAGGATGCAGAGGGTAGCCAGAGCCCTGGATTCCTGTTGCTCCCATTCTTTTTTTTTTTTTTTTTTTTTTGAGATGGAGCCTCAAGCTGTCCCCCTGGGTAGAGTGCCGTGGCATCACAGCTCACAGCAACCTCCAACTCCTGGGCTCAAGCGAGTCTCCTGCCTCAGCTTCCCAAGTAGCTGGGACCACAGGTGCCCGCCACAATGCCTGGCCACTTTTTGGTTGCAGCCGTCATTGTTGTTTGGCGGGCCCGGGCTGGGGATTCGAACCCGCCACCTTAGGTGTATGTGGCTGGCGCCTTAGCCGCTTGAGCCACGGGCACCGAGCCACTCCCATTCTTTAATCCATGATTGTCCCCTCCTTTCCTGGGTCTCCAGGATTGGGCTCTTTCAGTCACCCCAGCTCTGCCTATCCTCACCCCATTCAGAAGCTGAGTTCACTGGGAAATTGTTCCCTCAGCATCTGTAGGACTTCTTCAAGAAGTGAAATCCCCAGGTCCACTTTGAAGGAGAAAAAGGGATCATTGAGGTCTGGAGCAGGTGTCCTCTGGAAGTGGGGAGTGTCCAAAAGGTCTTCCTCTGAGTACTGGTGTAGGGCATCTGCCAGAGAGAGTGCTGATGGCAGGGTGGCTGAGTAGGCAGCAGAGTAGGCGGGTGGGGGCTCCAGGATGTTGGGGCAGCTGGAGCTCTCTCGGTAAAGGCGTGGGGGCTTGGGTGGGGCCAGCAGGGTGGCCCGGGGCTGCTCGTCCCCCCACAGTGGCAGGCGCCGGCCATCTGGCCTCCCTCGCAGCTCTCGGATGACCTCTCGGTTGCTGTACTCCTCATGGTCACCACCAGCTGTGCTGGCCTGGCTAAGTACACTGCCCTGTCGCCGGAGTCGCCGTGGCCGCCCTAGGCTCAGCCGCTTGAAGAAGGAAGCATTGCGGAAGGAGCCTTTCCGCCAGGTCTCCATAGGGCCCAGGACAGCCAGCAGACAGGTGTTTAAGAGTAGCCAGTGAACATTTGGTCCCTGCTGGGGCAGTGAATGCCAAGAATCAGGGAGCCAGCCCTAGTGGGCTAGAAGCAAAGGCCTCAGTGTTTCTTTCTGCTCAGCACCTTTGGCTAAGTCTTGTATGGTGAGATGGAGGTCCCAGGAAGAGGGTGCGTTTTTGACTAGGCGAGCAGAGAGCTGGGAGTTCTGGCAGCAGGTTCCCCACAGGAACAGGAGTGGCCTGGTTACATGATAGGGCAGTGGAAAAAAACCCAAGAGAGAGAAGCGGCACTTACTGGAGCTGGAGTGACAATAGCCCTGCTGGCCGCAGAGATGGGTCTTCTTGGGTCAGGCAGGAGGCAGATAGGTCCAGTCCATGTGCCGTCTCTAGGGCAGTGTGGGGCTGTGTCCTTTCTGGTGGTAGCTCCAGACTCTGATTAGTAGCTTGGCTGTTTGTGGCGGTGGAGATGTGTTTGTGTTTTCAGCTGACTCAGTCAGGTGGGAAGCCGGGTTTCATGCTCTTAGGTAATTGCAGCATCCGCATGCAGGGATTGGGGCAGCTGTGACCAACACCCCAGGGCAATAGGGAGCTTAACATTCCACTGGGGACTCATCTGGGGGCAGCACTGCTTTATGTGTCACCACACTGCTTCCTTTCTCATTACAACCCCGGTGCCTTGGGCTGGGCAGGCCTGGCTCTGCAGCCCACAGTGTGTCTGGGTGGGAGGAGCTCAGGGTGGTGGAAATTAATTGAAAGGCAGGTGTGTGGAACCACTGTAAGGGAGGGAAGAGACCTGCTACTGGTGCAGGTGACTCAGCCCTGGGGCCTGGTGCCAGGCCCTCATTAGCAGAGCCTGCAGGAGTCGGGGGAACAGCCCCATGCTTGTTAAGAGCTTGGCTCCTCCCAGGGTAGGGCTAGGGGCAGGCCTAGGGTGACTCCAAGTCTTCTTGGCAGTGGGACAGTAAGTTCAGGAGGGGAGAAGTACCGTTCCCTTGGCCTGCCATCTGGTCTGGTTGCTCAGTTTCCTTGTCCTCCCTCATTTTACCCAGATGACGTCCTGGCAGGAAGGACATAGTGGAGGACTAGGGCCTTCCTCCTATTTTGTTATACACTGACCCTCCTTTGGGGTCCCCCTTCCATGGAAAGGGTAGGCCATGTGGGGCTGCCATGAATTGTCATCCCTGCTTTGGGCCAAGCTAAGCAGGTGGGCCTAGCTGTGAGGGAAGCAGTGGGGAGAGGGGTGGGGCTGTCAGGAGGAGCAGGGGGAATCCAGGCTGAGTAACACTTCCTGTTTCTCTACACCCCTCACTCCAAACCAGTTGGCCAGGGCTTGGCATCTCAACCTCAGCCACTCCTTTCTTATTCCCTGGGTCACTGACCACCAAATCTTCCTCCTGGCTTGTTCGATGAGGACAGCAGTGTAGTGTGCCACAGAACAGGGCTCAACAGCTTGGCCAGCTATGGACAGGCCATCACATCTCACAACCCCTGGCCTGGCTCATTTCTTTGCCTAGTCAGGTGGGGTTCAGGCCTAAGAATTTGTGGGTACCACATGATTATCACACACAGCTTCAGTGGCACTGAGGGAGGAAGTGATTTAATCCCACTGCAGACCTTATCAGGGCATGGGGTAGCAGCTCAGGGATCTGCTGGGGAGCTGCTGCTCCACACCACAGCCTTAGCCTATTGACCTATTGTTTATTATTCTTTTGATTATTAAAACATAGTACTCCTGAGTCCTTCACACTGTGCTGGCAAGATCATAAAAGATCCACGGGCTCTGCCCTCCAGGAGCTCTGTTGTGTATTTTTAGGAGGGAGGTCAGCGGCTGCACAACTGCTTCTCTCTCCTGCTGAGGTGGGGCCCCTGAGGCTGAGTGGAGGGCAGGGCTTCCTTGTGCATGCTCAGCAGGAGCCAGGCAGCTGGGAGGAGCAGTTCTGAGGCTGTCCTGGCAGGGCCTAGGGTACCCCTGTATCTCAGACAGCTTCCCTTCCTTGGCAACTTATGAGAAGTAAAAGCCATGGCATGAGGGAAGCAGTGTCAGATAAAGGGCTGAGAGGAAACAAAGGGAGAGCAGGGCCTGGCTAGGTAGAACACAAGAAGTGATTTCTACAGGACAGGTAAGCCAGGGCTGACTGGAACATGAAGGGCCTGGGTAAAGAGAGGGTGAAAAAACTGGTTGACTTGGCTCGGCGCCTGTGGCTCAAGTGGCTAAGGCGCCAGCCACATACACTCAAGGTGGTGAGTTCGAATCCAGCCCGAGCCCGCCAAACAACAGTGACGGCTGCAACCAAAAAATAGCCAGGCGTTGTGGCAGGCGCCTGTGGTCCCAGCTACTTGGGAGGCTGAGGCAGGAGACTCGCTTGAGCCCAGGAGTGGGAGATTACTGTGAGCTGAGATGCCACGGCACTCTACCCAGGGGGACAGCTTGAGGCTCCTGTCTCAAAAAAACAAAAAAAAACACAAAAAACTGGTTGACTTAGGATGGACTGAAGGGGAGCCAGCTGAGAAGCCAGCCTAAAGCCCAACAGCCTGCCTGCTCTGGGGGGACACGGATGAGTGGCATTACAGGATATGCCAGGGTCATTTGTTTCCTCTGAGTCTGGAGTCCATGGAGGCTGTGCCCTGCTGCCCCTAACCCATCCTTGTCCCCTCTCTGTCCCCAGGGCTCTGCGTTGTCAGAGAGGGACTATGAGAGTCTGGTTATGATGCGTATGCGCCAGGCTGCTGAGCGACAACAGTTGACTGCCCGGATGCAGCAGGAAGACCAGGAAGGGCAGCCCACGTAGCATCCAGCTCCAGCCCACCTGCCCCCAACTCTTTCTTTAAATATCACCAATAAAATGTTTTTTAAGAACCTACCTTTACTGCATACACACGTATAGGGTGCTGGGCTCTGTTTCATGGGGCTCCTCCCAGGCCTAGAGTCCCTTCCTGGGAGTGAGCAGACCCCCAGGGAAAGGCCTTGTGCGGTAAGAGTCAGGACACAAGCAGAGCAGAGGAGCAACCACTCATCACAGCCCTTTATTGGCTTGGACTGGCTACATAGGACCCACCCACCGAGTCCTGGCATCGTCCTCTACTGGAGTGCCAGTGCAGCAGGGCAGCCTGCCCACAGAACATGGCCTGCCATCAGCTCTCAGGTCAGGCCCGAAGCAGGAGGGCAGCTGGGAGCACTGGGGCAAGGGGCTTTCCCCTCCCCCAGTAGCCAAGGCAAGAGTTTCAGAGGCCATTGTCTACCTGCTGGGGATGGACCAAGGGCAAGGACAACCTGGGAAGATGGGGGCAAGGCAGTTAGTAAGGTGAGGGCTTAAGGAAGTGGCCCATGGCAGCCCCTCCAGAGAGGAGCACCCTGTCCACAAGTTAGTGTGAGAAGGTCACTCCTTGTGCAGGCACCACACCAGCGTCTGGCCCACCCCTGTCATGCTCAACACACGGAAGCCCTTGCGTTCCAGCTTGTCCAGGACTATGCGAGGAGGGTCATTGACGTAGTACTCACAACTGCAAAAGAGACCAGGGTGGGCCATGTGAGGAGGGGGCACACAGAGCAAGTTCCCCATACAAAGCTGGTGTCTGCTAAAAGCTGGGCCTGGGCAGGAACTCTTATCGTGGTGACTGACATTTGCTTGGTGCCAGGCTAAGGTACATTCCCTGCCCTCTCCCAGTTCCCATGAGTTTATTCTTTCCAACAACTTAGGGAGGGTATTGTTATTGTTCCCATTTATACATATAGAAAACTAAGAGGGTGGCTGGGTGTGGTGGCTCATGCCTATAGTCCTAGCACTCTGGGAGGCTGAGGTGGGTGGATTGCTTGAGCTCACAAGTTCGACACCAGCCAAAGCAAGAGTGAGACCCTGTCTCTAAAAATAGCCAGGCGTTGTGGGGCACCTGTAATCCCAGTTACGTGGGAGGCTTAGGCAAGAGAAGTGCTTGAGCCCAAGAGTTTGAAGTTGCTGTGAGCTGTGATGCTATGGCACTCTACTGAGGGTGACAAAGTGAGACTGTCTCAAAACAAAACTGAGAGGGGTTAAGTAGCTTTCCCAGTGTCATACAGAGACCCCATATTGGTCTGATGGCACCCACACCTGCCCGTAGCACTCTGCTGTCCACAAGAGTGGCCTGTGCTCCCTGGACTTGCTCCTCACCTGGGCCTCTGGGCCTCTTGCTGCCCTGGCTGTCCTGCAGTCCTGGGGCAAGAAGATTGACCCCTAATAGCTCCTAGTTCTGTGTGCCATCCCCCAGCACTGAGATGCTTGGTTTCCCTTCTTTCAGGTTTAATTGATGCTGAAGGATCATTAAGCAAAGGGCTCAAGTCCCAAGCTGGGCATCCTGAGGCAAATGCCTCCTGGCAAAGGGAAGGGGTTGGTTGGCTTCTGCCCACCATCCTTTTCCCAAGGGACTAGGATCAGCTAGCTTTTTCTTTACCCCTTTGAAGTAGACCTCACTCTGTCAACTTTTCTCAGGGCTCCTGAGTCTGTGTAGGCAGGGTTCCCCCTGCCTATAGGTAGGAGGGGGTGAGGGAACAGAAAAGGAAGCAGTGGTCACAGTTCAGACTTGGAGATGGTGTGAAGTATGCTGAGGGAAGGGGTAAGTCCCCAGGCAGCAGCAGAGCTAGAAGTCAGAGCCAAACTTCCTGTCCATTTCTAGGAGCAGAAAGTTTGTCACTCTGCCACCTCATTGAGGCAGAAGCTTTCTCTATGTGCCTGTCTTTTTTTTTTTTTTTTTTT